GCATGGGTTTGATCAATCATTATAACATCATTTGGTATCTAAAATATAAAATAGAAACTTTATCTTTTATTCTAATGAAGAATAAGTCAATTTTGTATATTTCTTATAAGATAAGAAAAACTTGAAATATTTATTAGATCGTTATAATTATTAAATTTAGTAGATAAAATTTTATAGATTGATAAACTTTGCGAATAAGATAAAAATACTAGTAAGAAAGACGAAAGTCCATTTCAAAATGAAAGGACATTAGTTCGTCGCAAAATTGTATAAAATAATTATTTTAGTTATATTTTTATTTCAATAATGCTATCCAATAGCATTGATGACTATATTCTTCAGATTAACTAATGATTGTTAACACTACTATAATGATAGATTTAATCTGTCCTCTGAAAATATTCTTTGACATCATTATTCTGATTAAGTGAATTTTTGTGACATGTTAAACACAGATTCGTTTACGGTTCTGTCTAATGTCTTACTAATAAATTATTGAGAGAAGAAACAATTTAATTAAAACTAATTAAAGGTAAAAGAAAGAGATCTATTGTTTGAATATTCTCTACATATGAATTATACGACAATTAAATAAAACAATCTGTCAGTATTAAATACTTACCAAGAAAATATCATACAACTGTTGTATATCTCTATTTCTATGTATTATTTTTAGATCGATACCTGCTCGGATATATAATTGTCGTTAAATATGGGTGAAATACAAAATATAACTGACTTCTATTAGAAAAACAAGGAGTGTCTGGGCAATGGAGAGATAAAAAACGAATCAGAGAAGAAATCGAGAAACTTCGTTGCTACTATTTACATAATGAACATTAAGAGGAATGGAAAAATCATTTTTGTTTTTCTTCACAGACAATATCGATCGGAAAGAAGTAGGTTAGGAGAAAGAGTGTACATGTCTAGCAGCTGGAGAGAATAGAAAAGAAGACGAAGAGAGAGAGAGAAAGAGATAATGTACGTAATAAACTTTATATTCTTAACTTACATCGTTTGTCATTCTTCCAAATTTTTCCTTTAAATACCATCTAAAACATAAACCAATTCCAATATGTAATATAATTAAAATTGGATAGAAAATCCATTTTGACATTATCGAATAAATATATAAATCATTTCTAATAAACATCAAAATTTTCGAATTCTGTGAATATTTTATCAGATAAAATGATATCATTTGTAAAGCATCATCGATATTTTTTGTTGATATACAAGTTAAACATAATGACCAAAGAAAACCTGATATAATATTAATCGTTAAAATCTTTTTTAATAAAGATAATGATTGAACTAAATAAATATCATAAAGAAAATAGATATTTAATATAATAAAATATATATAGATTAATGTTTGACAATTTATTGTTAAACATGATAGAAATATATTTAATGAACGAAATGAATATAACTCATGATAATTATATAAACTATTTATATCATTATAAATATATGTATTTGTTGTTGAATTATGAAATGAAAATTTAATTTGAAAATTTTTATTTTCATGAAAATTTAAATGAAAATTTATATTTGAACCATAACGATATAATAATGTAAAATAATAGATTGGTAAATTTAATGTATACGAATTGAGATTTATTTGAAATTCTAATATGGATTGTTTTTCTTTCGATAATTCGTACCATTCAAAATTTTTATTTACATGATTTTCTAATGTTTTACTTAACCATTTTAATATATATTGATAATCATGATTTATAAAAGATATTTCATAGGAATATATATGAGATAAACGTCGATTTATTGATGGAATAAATAAAAAGAATCGTTCATTATGTAATGTTTGACAGATTTTCGAATAATCATTATTTGAACAATTTAATATTCCTGTTTGAATATTAAATATTGATAGACGACGTTCAATTCGTTGCCAATCATTTGAAGAAACTTTTATTAATGATTCACGATATTGCTCATTAGGTATAAGATGAACAAACCTATTGTTGTTGGTTTTTTAAAATAGAAATAATATATAAGATAATTAAAGATTATTTTCTTACCAAATAGTATCTTTACAATCATCAACGAAATTAAGTAATTGTTTATAGGATGAGAATATCATTGTTTGACGTTTAGTATGATCTTCTATGGGTTCATACAATTCATTTTCTCGAACAGAACCTAGAAAATAAATACGAGATTTGACGAAAGTGAAATTTATTTTTTAATAAGTTTATATTAGATTAATCTTGGAAGTTAAAAGAATAAAGCAGAACATAGATTTAATGTGCGATCTTGTAAACGATTTACACTGTGCATTATATGAACTTCTACAAAACCGTATGACATAAAATACTGACTGGTAGGAGTTTTAGTGATGAACGGTATAGATCGCTAATTACTTTACTGATTAACAGTATTCGAATACGTCTACGAAGTTTTGAACAGAGAAGATTCAAAGGCACAAACTAATCTTTATTCCTGTAATTCTTAGTTTATTAAAAAGAAACTAAATCTTTTTTTCAATATCATGACTATTGTAGAATCTAACAACATTTTACTAGCTGAAAAAAGCACTCCCATGTCATCAAAATCGCTTGAAAATCGACGAAATAATCGTTTGTT